ATTTAGTCACTCAGTCATGTCCAGCTCCATGGACTGTAGCCCGCCAGGCTCCTCTGTCCATGGAATTCTCCTTCAGGCAAGAATACTGGAGTAGGTAGCCACTCTCTTCTCCAGGGAATGTTCCCAACCCAGGGATTGAACCTGGGTCTTCTTCATTGCAGGCAGATTCTTTACTGTCTGAGCCACAGGGAAGCTCCACCTGTAAAAGGAGGGTAATAAAACCTCCAAGAATTATTGGGTGCCAAATGAGACCGGACCACGAAAGCCTGTCTACAGACCTGCTATAGACCATGTGGTCTTGCTTAGAGGCTAATCATCATATCCAGTCCCTGAGAGTCCTGTGTGCTGCCTCAAGAGTTCTCAGGGTGACAGGGGTATCCCAGGTCCCAGCATCCTGCTTTGTAGCCCCTTCATCCTCCTCCCTGTCTCCTTCCCGAGGACCACTTTCCTTTGCTCCACATCAGCTGCTCTCCCCAAGTCCATTCCAAAGATTCTGTTAGAAATAAAGGCAGAACAGTCCTGCTTTTGATGAGATACAAACAAGGGTAATATCTGGTTTTCACTGAAGAATAAGTAACTAAATCAGTCCTGAAATGTAAGTGCAGTCATTACATTTAAAACATCATTACCCCTTTATTATGAGGGATAATATTCAATCCTGGGCCACTCTCCACCTCTCCCGTTATGCCCTAGTTGTTCTGCGTACACTTGTTGATTCATAATCATTAAGTCATTTTATTTTCTGTGACGTAGGTACTTGAGCACCTACTATGTGGACTTCAAGTGCTAACCAGATTTATAAGTGTGATGAACAAAAATACACAGCCTTGTTAACCTGTGTGTTGACAGAAGTGTTCAATAAATATTTCCTGAAGGAAAGAATGAACACATGTGTGTGCGCACACACATGTTTCTCCTTTAGACATCTGTGTATTTAGAAATACGTTTTTCTCTTCCCTCACTTGCTTATCTGGTCCTCGACAACTCACTCCTCCATAGCTAAATCAGCCTGCCATTTTCTGTGAAAACTTTCCTGATTATTTCAAGCAAAGCTCTATCTCCATCCCGTGAGTACTGACAACTCCATTCACAGCTGTGTCTCAGCACGTGTCAGTTCATTTCGTGAGTCTGGTTTCACCACCAGACTGTGAACACCTCAGGGACAAGGACACATCTTCTTCATCTTTGAATCCTCAGGAAACAGAACATCATGCAGCACAGAACAAGCATCCACTGCAGTCTTTCCTAACCACATGGTAACCAGTGGTTACCCTGCCAACATTCTACCCACGAGACAGTCCTAGTGGTAACGCCACCCCTAGGAAAGCTCATTGAAATGAAAATGAATAACGATGACAGTAAAACAGAGATAATACTGAATCTGCTCTAATACATACAAAAGGAAATCATTTATAAACTTTGAGATTGCTATGGTCTGTTTATGTGCACTCAAATTTCATATGCTGAAATTCTGATAGCATTAATATTAGAAGGTGGGACTTTTGGAAGGTGATTAGGTCATGAGGGTGGAGCCCTGAGACAAGGGATTAGTGCCCTTATAAAAGAGACCTAGAAAACATCCTCCCCCTCTCCCACCATGAGAGGACACAGCAAAAAGGCACTATCTATGAGAAAGTGGGCTCTCACCAGATACCAAATCAGGATCCTGGACTTTACTGCCTCTAGAACTGTGAAATAAATGTTTGTTGCTTATAAGCCACCAAGTTTATAATGTTTCTGTTTTAGGAGTCCAAATACTAAGAAAAACATGTAATTATTAGTTGTATCTTACTAGCACCAAGGACTTTGGACAAGACTACCTGGGTTTGAATCTCAGCTCTGCCATTTGAGAACTGTATAATTAAATTGTTTGGGCCTCAGTGTTCTCATCTGTAAAATGGTGTTAATAATAGCACTTCATAGAATTGCTGTAATGTATATAATATGCATAAAATGGTGCACATAATAGTGACAAATCAGTGTCAGCTAAACTAAGTGAACAAGCAAAATCCATTTGTGACTGGCAACAGAATGTGGTATTATCTTGAAAAGTTGAATCAGACCACTACCCTCTATCCCAAGAAACAGACTTAACTTTAGGCTCCCACATTATTTATGATTTTTAATGGCACACATAATTAATAATATGGTAGAATAAAACTGTAAATGAGGAAAGAAGAAAGTTAGTGAGTTTCCTTGGAAAGACATAGGATTTGGGATTGGAAGGTCTGATTTGAGTTTCCAGTCAAATCAGGAATAATCCCAGAATTTCAGTTTTCTTATTTGTGAAATGAAGATGACATCATTCCTGCATTGGTTTCCACTGGTCTGCTTTGAGGACCTAGTAACATACTGACATGAAACCATTTCTGCTCCTAATTTGCTATTGTTCCTACTATTACTAGTAACTGAGCTCATTTATGACATTTTCTGCATTCTCACTGATACTTTTGATATATTAGCAATACCTAGATATCTGAACATATGGACAGCTTTTGATATTGATTTATTTCCTGCAACATACTACTAATAAAATTTATTCACATAAGGATTGGGATCAAGAACCCCTTTGAAATTCAAGACAAGGTGTAAATTGCTGCAAAGGGTCTCCTTAATTGGGATCAAAACATTTTTGACAGCTTTTGGATTTTTAAAATTCTAGCTATTGTCACGTTCTGCTAATGTTTCTTTTCTTGGTTTTGAAAAAATAGCACAGCCAAGCTTGAACAGGAATACTTCTGACATGATAAACAACTAAAATTTGTCATTCCAAATGAAAAAGACCCAGTTTTCCACTTCTTTGATAAGTAGGACAAAACACCACTGAGACTCTTATTCTGCAAAATTCAGTTGAGTCCCTGCTGGGCAATGACAACAGTTTAGTAAACTGTTCATGCTCACAACCTCCAATTGAGGTTCTGAAAAAACCTCCAGTTATCTGAAGATAAGTTACATCCAATAGGGATGGATTTAAAGGAGAAACAGACTATCAAAACTAGTCTGGGGAATCAACCAAGATGTAGCTTTGGTCAACACCTCATCTTCTACTTGACTTCCTTCCACAATATCTCCATCATATGACTGTTGCTTGAATCCTCCGAGGGATGGTGTAGTCACTTGCGCAGAAGGTGGTCCATCTCAAGGCTGAACAGCTCTGACTTGTGGGAAACTCTTCTTCCTCATAAACTGAAACTGCTTCCTAGAAACTTCTATCACGAAGTCTTGGTTCTGTTCCCTGAGTCACACAAAACACTGAACAAGTCTTTGGAGAGATCAACACTACTAATACAGAGTGCCTCGCCCCACACTCATCCCTACTTCAGGCTTAAACGTTCAGCCCTCTCTACCAGTCTTCCTTAGACTTGTGTTAAGACAAATTAACAGGCTATGGATGCAAAAGCCCTAAGGTAAGCGCCTACGTAAGTCAGCAGACTAAGTCAGACAGGTAACATTTAATTCTGCCTTCATCCTGAATCCCCACTAGGATAGGACATTTTTTTTTTCCCACAAAGCCAAATGGATTTGAGCCGAAATGATGATTTTTCAGGTATTTTTTGTGTGTGTCCAAAGAAAGAATCAAAAATCACATTTCAAGGTTTGGTGGTATCTTTCTTTGGGGCCAGCTTAGCCACCCTTGAGTGAGGATTTAGATAAAAGTAAAGAATATAAATTACTTCTACTCACTAGCTAAAGTTTGGTGATTAGGACTATTTGATGGTGGGGTACATGATGGAATAGCAGGACCCCAAAACAAAAGAATAAAAAGTAAGATAGACAAGATAAAGTATCTGATACTCTATCCTGTCATTCCTGTCCCTTTGGTGATGCCAGTGTCACGGTGATAGGCAGGTGTGGACTTGGGAAGAGACTAGAGATGATGACATATATTGGGGTATATGAATCCTTGTGAAAGTATCTCTCAGTTAGGCATGATCCACATTACTTGGTTCCCTCCCATGAAGGATGATAAAGGATGAATAATATCCTCCAAGTTTCTACAATTCCAAAGCTCTCTGCCCCCCATGTATCACCCAGGATCCCACGAGGCCATAATGTGTCTGTGCTATTACTAATCAGGAGTGACTTTTCTTCAAGAAAATATTTTACTATTAAATTATCATCCTACTAACCATATGGTCTCTTAATATGAGTCAGAACAAAGGGGGAAATTTTGTAATGCAAAATGACAAGGTTAAGTAGCTTGGCTAATTGAGTATTGTTTATACATTGCTTGATAAACTACCTGTGAAGTTCACAGGAGGTGATATAAGTGGAAGTATGTTAGAAGCTATAAAGCACTGAGTGAATAAAAGAAAATCGTGTCCATCTGACTCTTGCTCTCTGGACAAAACAGATAATAAAAAGCTTTTCTCTTTTTCCCATACCATCAACGAATAGGGTCAACAATGCTAGGCAAGTCCTGGGGATAAACCTGGGAGTTAACTGCTGCCAGGAGGTGGACGAAAATACAAACCACATCTTCAGCGGGTTCAAAACATAGATCAGCCCTTACATTTCCTCATCATGCAGTGATGGATTTTTTTTTTTTAACATTGAAAACTCCATTTATTCTTTTTGATGACAGCAATTGCAAGGTGCCACAGGTTCAATTCAAGAGAGTCTGGATGCTTTGACCAAGTCAAAAGACCCCCGTACCTCCCTCTAGGACGCATGTCATTAAAGTTGCCAACACACAAGGAAATTTAACTTAAACTGTCACATTACCCACTGCTCTTCAAAGCACATCAATCTCCCATTGCATTACCAGGACTGTGTGACACTTTTATCCCAATTATACTGTAAGAAACACGGTGCAGTCATACTGTGCCCAAGTCAGGGAAGAGCCTCCCTTTGATGAACGATCACAGCTGATCAAGTTTGTCAGTTGCTTTATGTGTTTTTATGCTTGTTTGATATTCCTGCCCAGAAGAGTAGAGGCTTTTAAGGGCACATCTGTCAATGGATTCAATTTCACCATGCCATGTGATTCTTTTACTTACCCCTGTCTTCTCATCAAAGATTTTGATTCCTCCAAAGGAGATGGTTAAAAAGATTTTCTGTTTGTGTTCTCCTTTGGAACGAGCGCCAGCAACAACGCCCTGTTGAAAGGAAGGATGTGGTTTTTACTTTAGTGTTTTCATTTGAAAATTCCCTCTGGTCCCAAAGGCATGTCAGATACCATGAACCAATGCCACCAATCACGCACACTCTTTTCCCTCCCCACTTCCATACTATCTTTCCCAATGGGCTTGCATCCTCTTGATGTTTTAGGGTAACACTTGTCCTCACTGCTCAAAAACTGTATAAACAAATATCTGAACTTAGATTCATTGGGCAAACCAAGATTTACAGAGTGCCTACCTTGTGCCTAGACAGTCGGCTCAGAATTTGAGATCCCAGGATAAACACAATATGGTTCCCTTGTTAAGATCTTTTCCGGGTTTTGTATTAGATATGGTTTTAACCTTTTAAATAAAGATGAGTCATGGGATATGTTCCTAAATGTGATTTTAATTTCATACTTCTGGAAAAACTTTTCATATGAATTAATTATAGAGATTAAAAAGAAAAAATATTGCCAGACTGCATGTCTCAAGTCTGTTTAGAAAAATGTGATTGTCATCTGCCTATGGCTTGAGTTTTTACCCATACATTTTGTATGTTCTTCTACCATTTTCCCAATCATTCTTGTGCTTTCAAGAAAAGCAACTAGCAAGAGCTTCTATTTCTCAAAAGCCTGTTTCCCCATTTTTCCAATCTTTTTTTAACATACTGAAGATATGTGTGAGTCAATTAGAAGGTAAATGTCACAAAAGGTGGGTATGTTACTCTGCTCACTACTCTCTCTCTAATACCTAGGACAGTCCCTGGAGGGTGGGAGACACTCAAGAAATTATTATGACACGAATGTGCTATCAAGAGTTCCCTCAAAAAAGTTGACATGATGCAAGTTAAGAGTAAAAACACCTGCTTCTTAAATTAGCCTCTGTGGTGGCCAATTATAGGCAAGCATGGGCTTCCCTGTGGCTCAGCTGGTAAAGAATCTGCCTGCAATGTGGGAGACATGGGTTTGATCCCTGGGTTGGGAAGATCCCCTGGAGAAGAGGAAGGCTTCCCACTCCAGTATTCTGGCCTGGAGAATTCCACGGACTGTATAGTCCAAAGGGTTGCAAAGTCAGACACGACTGAGAGGCTTTCACTTTCACTTTACTTTTCATGGGCATAATACTAGGGTACAACTGAGAGGATGAGGACATTCAAGGGCATTATGCTCTAGGACTGTTGCAGACTCTGCATTAGGTGTTTTGAGGCTTCCAACCCCTTCATCCCCACGAGCTTCCACAGAGGGAGAGAATAAGCCCATCTTTCACCAGTAATCATTCTGGGCTTTTATCAGAGTAGAAAAGTCTAAAATAATAATGATTTCATACTCCCAAGAGAAAAAAGTCCTTTGTGTTGTTCTCAGCACAGCATGTTCTGGAATAGAGTCAGAGGTATGACCAGCACAAGGAAGAGGCATTCTCTTAAGGTTGTATGATTATCCTCACTTTGGGTACTGGAAATATTCTATGGAATCGAAACATCTGGATTATACTTCTGGCTGTGATCTTGGACAAATGACTTAATTCCTTGCTCTGCTTCCTTGAGTGTAAATACTTCTCTGGCATGTTTGAGAGAATGAAATGAAAACGTATGGAAAGTATCTAGTACAATGCATGGTACACTGTAGGATGTCACAACCAATGCTAGCACTTGTGGTCCAGCTCCTGTTTGGGAACTAGTAACAGGAAATGCACTGCCTCAGGAGTCACCCATTCATCCTCAGGCACCTCTGACATACAGATGCACAGAATGTTAGAGTCACAGGAAACCTTCGAAGTAATCAGTCCAAATTTCTCAACTGACAGCTGAGAAAAATGATGTTTGATAAGCCGGGTAGACAATTCCAAGACGGTACAGAGAACTGGTTAGAAAGTTGAGACCACACGTCCACTTTCAAGACTCTTGGTGCAAGAGTCATTACTTCTTTACATATCTCTTCTTTCTAATAAGCCCAGATTTCTTTCCTGTAATCCTACCTGGTGTTCCTCTTTTGACCTTTAGGGATGTACCCACTGACGTAGGATCCCTCCTCCAATGACTGTCCTTTACATAGTTACAAGGTGACTTACTCCCAAAGCAAAGCCCTCTGTGTCTTTAACCCCTCCTCCTGTTCAAAGGTCTCTAGATTCCTCAATGTGCTGCTTGCTTTCCCATAAATTCAATGAGAGATGGTTTTATGGACATGGGAGAAGGCTCAGAGTATGTCTTTGCAATCCCAGGGGTAGTTCTTATTTCTCTTCAGTGTCATCCAAACAAAGATGCTGTCTCTGACCCCTCCACCCTCCACTCCAAACTGCATCTGATCTTTCTCCCTGCATCTTTTCCCCTTATGCTACCCTCCGGTATACTGTATATTCATTTGTTGACTGTCTGCCTTTGCCCAATAGGACAAAATCTCAACGGGCTCAATGGGAACTTTGTTTTATTCATTCTGCATGCCCAGGGTCAAGAATAGAGACTGGAATAAAAAAGGCACTCAAACAAGTGAACTGACTTTCCCCTCACTCGAGTAGTGAACAATCTAGGTTTTGAATCTATGAAAACCTTGACTTTGAAATCTGTGTTCCTAGTTTGATTTGGAGAAAAGTAACTGATGCTGCCATCCCTCTGCAGCCTGACCTTCAACTTCAGGATCCAGACATATGCAAAAGAGAGAACAAGAAGTAGTCCTGTTATAAACGGAGGCATTGGAAGGACTGTGGCAATGGGTAGGGAGCCTCTCTTTCTTGCTTGAGTCCTTCCAACATGAAGACATCACAGTTCCTTAGGTCAAAAAGAGTAGCTTCAACGACCCCATCTCCAAAACAGTCCTAACAACCCCCAGCTCTTGGAATTACCTAACATCAAACAGCACTAATTCCCAACACACAGTGATGCTGACTAGCTAATAATGCTCCCCTTCACTTCCTGTTCCAAATAGTTCCAAGAATTCCCTGGAAGAATGTGGCTGCAGATAAAGAGGGATGGAAAGAGCATGTTTGAGAGCATTTCTGCTTGAGACTGCTGGTGATACACCTTCCCAAATAAAAGGACAAATACAAGAGAGAAGGATGATGCACATGGTACGATCTTTGGGAAAAATAAACTCCAATTTTACCAAGCACATTTCTCCTGTGAGACACAACCTTGAGTCAAGCCCTGAAACACTACTCGAAGTCCAGGCAAATCTGCCACCAGACAGCCTGTCACAGGGTCACACCTCCCCATGGTGTTTTGCAGAACCAACAGAAGAACAGGTGACAGGGATGGTTGGAGAATTAGAAGATACGGATATAGGTATCTTTGGGGGGTTTAATATTAGCAACCTGGCCTACAAAGTCATTGTTGGGAACCTGAAAATGAGAGGTTTTTCCAACGAGTGTTTTTCCAAAACACTCTCCAGGTATTTTCCAGGTACCTACCAAATGGAAGGAGTTCTCTTACATGTTATATAATTTAGCTCATCCCACAATCCTAGGAAGGAAGAATTACCTCCTTCATTTTACACATGACAAAATATAAGCTCAGGGGGTCAAGTGACTGCCTCAAACCTCACAGAACTAAGACATAGAAGGAATTTCAACAGCCATCTTTTGAATTTCAATGTTAGGGTTCCTTCCTATGGAAGGGTTCTATGGGGCAGCATTGATTAAAAAAGATGGAAATCCCGGCGTCCAGATGCAGTAGTGAAGGAGAACTCCAAATGAGACTAACTCATACTTTTAACAAGAGCAAACCAGGCACATACTGCACATGGCACAGGGCACAGCATGCAGGGAGAGCTCAGCAAACTTGACTGACCATCACCACTGGTACCAATCCTGAGACTGTGAAGCAACGTCATGCATCAGGCACTGTGTGGAATGACTGATGCAGGCATCTCTGAGGGAGTCACACTGAGGCAGCATCTTATTGGAGGAACGTATACACACAGACGGGGTCAGGTACACAGGCAGGATTGCCATGAGAGTCCAATCAGATGCTGCCCAGGAAGGAACTGAGACCTCACACAGCAGGGTGCATGCCCGTGATGGGATGACTGTTCCCCTCCAGGGAACAGGTCAAGCACGTGAGCCCACACAACAAGCTGCAGGCCGAGCATAAATCTAGAATGCTATTCCAGAAAGCTCCATGAATAGCACTAGGAATTAAATCAGCTGTACAGTCTCTGGGGGAAAACTCATCATAAGTTTCACTTTTTCCCAGTTAAGAAGGGGATAGAGATATCTTCCTCGCTTTAACCCAGAGACTGGCCCCTAAGCTCTGCATTCAGGTCCTCTGAGCATCCCGTCCCTTGGATTCCACCAAGGAAAGCACAGACAGGAGGTCAGAGCGGCGGAAAGAGAGAGGTCCAGGTATTTCTTTCTGCTTTCTTCCCATCCCTGTTCTATAATCTCCAGCAGCAGCTATATTTTTGCATGGCGAGGAGACTTCCTTCTCAAACCCACCCTCCCTGGGTTCCGGTTAATATATCTCTCCTTGGGATGGGAACAGCTTCCCACTATTTCTAGTTTTTGCTACCTTAACCTGGCCTACCCTGCACGAGCTGCTCTTTCATTAAAGTGTCCTCATCTGACCTAGCCGGGGTGACTATTTCCTACAGGACCTTGACTAATAGATTCACCTTGGGCTCTGCAATCAGTCCTCCAGGCACTGTCTTTATGAGACACCATTTTGCCCGATACCTCTGAGAGGTGAATACTTTGTAAGTTAATGATGTGGGGCTACTGAGTAGTAGCTTATGTGTAGGGGTTTAAAAATCTAGCTGGGCAACCAAGATAGATTTCAGTGCAGATACAAAACCAAATAGAAGGAAGCACTCAGCAATATCCTATCAAACATGAGACATCTGGAGATCTTGGTTTGAATTCTGGGCTTAATCCATATTAAAATGAAGGCTCTGGGGCAAATCCTATAACTTCCATGAACCTCAGATTTCTTACTTACAAACAAGGAGGCTAAAAGCTACCTCACAAGATCAAAAGAGATAATATATATAAAAGTGCTGGTGACTAAACTAAAATACAATGACAATGAGGCTTCGCTGGTGGACAGGCAATGGCTCACACAAACTCACATTTACGAATCCCCTCTTAAATCTCTATAACCCAAGAGAAAAACCTCTACATTAGGAACCAGCGTCAGAGAGTCTAGCAAAGAAAAACAGAATTTTTTTCTTTTTTAATTTCTCATATGGCCTGACATGAACAAGTGGGCCTTTTTGCAAGGCTAACAGACATTTTTTACTTCTTTGTCTTTCTTTCCTGGGCAGGAGGCCAAATGGAGAATCGATCATTTATGTTTCTGTGCTTCCTAAAGAAACACCACGGGGAGCGGAAATGTCAACATTCTTCTCTGCAACTTGCAAATAATAAAAGACAGTTGTCTGGAAACCAAGAACCCTCTACAAGTTCAGAGCATCTGGCAGGAGTGTGTTATGGTCAGACCAAGCCTCAGGGGTTTGGGGACCACTTGGTTACAAGGGGTGACAGGTGGGACACTTTACTGCAGGTAACCAAGACAGACAGACAGACAGACAGACAGACAGACAGACACACACACACACACACACACACACACACAGGAGCTTAGCAATCATCACCAGGCTGGTCCAGCTAGCCTGTGTGAATGTTAATCTTTAGGGAGAATTTCAGAGCATACAAGTCAACTCCTGCCTCACACCCGCGGATACGTCTATGCTTCTATGAAGGCAGATGGCTGATGAGGTGCTCTGTGACCTGTGCCTGGTGAATGCTATCCATCAGAATGCTGAGTGAGGATGCATCAGCCTTTTTCTTGTCCTCAGCAGACTTGTAGCTCTGGGTGGGAACCAGTCACTGGAGATTATCTTGATGTCTTTTAATTCATACTTGTCAAAAGCACATCTCCACCTGCCTGGCCTCATACTCAGTAAGACCAACTTCACCAAGAATTAAGGTCCTGGCCTTTATCCCCATCCTTGATTAGAGTCTCCATGGGGAGACAGGCATGGCACAGTCTCCTCTGGGTTCTCTCTCTGAAATCCACCTGCTGGTAGAGAGGGTGAGTTCTGAAGTGATCTCATACATGGGTCACAGGGCTTTAGGACAATGGGGGTGAACAGGGAAGGCTGTAGTTAGCCAACTGTCCCACAGACCCACTGGAACAGCCTGTCTCCCTCCAGCATGCCTTGTGGCTGTGTACCTGTATCATGTCTTCCAGACCAGCATTTATCAGTCATAAAGCTGAAATTTAGAATTCTTCCTGTTGGACTCCTTTGTATACTTATCACCCAGATTTTAATTTGGCAGAATAAGGGGGCCCATTATTAGACTGTCCTAAAATCTCATAACATCGTTTAATTATTCTTTTCATAAAAAGACACATTAACCTCTTCCAAGGAGGCAATCTGTGAACTTGTGATTTTAACATCTTTTATACATTTTCTTGTATGCCTTCTGATAGATTTATAACTATTAAAATAAAATTTGCTATGTAACAGCTTAAAAAAATAAAAAGAAAGTAATGGATAAACAGTTTAGAAAATTAAGAGTTTCTAAAAAGAATGGTTCTTATAGCTAGACTACAAGGAGTCTTTGAATCTGATACACATGTTAAAATAAACCATTGAGAAAATGTGTACAATATAAACAAAGATAATAACTGTGCCTTATTAAGCATTTGTCAAAGAAAAGGCAAAGAAGTCATTTTATAAGACATTGTCCTATATAATATTACTAGGAACTTGGCCAGCCTTTTTTTCCTTCCCTTTTTCTTATATTAAAAAAATTATATTGACCAAGTTGTATCCTTAGGGACTATTAGAAAAGATGAAAAAAATGTACATGATGTATATTAGGTAAGGAAGAAAACAAGATATGAAGCTATAAATGGTCATTCCAATTACACTATATATATGCATATGATTCACATATATATACAAAAATGTATATAAAAATACATAGATTGTTAATAACACAAAAATGTTGATACTGATTTTCTTTGTGTAGTGTGACTGTAAGTTAATTTTCCCTCTTACACTTTTCTGTATTTTCAAACTTTTTACAGAGCATTGTTTTGAATTCTATAATAAAAAATTAAATTATAGATCTTAAATGTATATGATACTTAGAGATTTCCTGTTAAATAATTTTTCTAATATTTTATATTACTTTAAAAAAATAAGCATAGACTACATGGAGACTGGAATCTGGGAACAGACAATACATGATTTTGTATGTTTTTAAAGGCTACTTAATAATTTTCTTATTTTGTATATTAAAATTTTTCCCAAGTTCTTAGATTTCTCAAAGAAAAGGCTTCTTTAAAGCATTTAAAATCAGAAATCTCTTTGTGCTATCTCCAAATACCAATATTACACATCATTTAAAAAATATTTTCCCTTTATTATAAAGTATGTGGGGAATATTAATAAAAATTACAAGGAGACCCACCTCCAAGAATAATGGAAATGAAAGCAAAAATAAACAAATGGGACCTAATTAAACTTAAAAGCTTCTGCACAACAAAGGAAACTACAAGCAAGGGGAAAAGACAGGCTTCAGAATGGGAGAAAATAATAGAAAATGAAGCAACTGACAAAGAATTGATCTCAAAAATATACAAGCAGCTCAGGCAGCTCCATACCAGAAAAATAAACGACCCAGTCAAAAAATGGGTCAAAGAACTAAACAGACATTTCTCCAAAGAAGACATACAGATGGCTAACAAACACATGAAAAAATGCTCAACATCACTCATTATCAGAGAAATGCAAATTAAAACCACAATGAGATACCATCTCACACTGGTCAGAATGTCTGCTATCAAAAAAGTCTACAAACAATAAATGCTGGAAAGGGCGTGAAGGAAAGGGAACCTTCTTACACTGTTGGTGGGAATGCAAACTAGTACAGCCACTATGGAGAACAGTGTGGAGATTCCTTAAAAAACTGGAAATAGAACTGCCATATGACCCAGCAGTCCCACTGCTGGGCATACAAACTGAGGAAACCAGAATTGAAAGAGACACATGTACCCCAATGTTCATCGCAGCACTGTTCACAATAGGTGGGACATGAAAGCAACCTAGATGTCTATCAGCAGACATGGATAAGAAAGCTATGGTACATATACACAATGGAATATTACTCAGCTATTGAAAAGAATGCATTTGAATCAGTTCTAATGAGGTAACTGAAACTGGAATCTGTTATACAGAGTGAAGTAAGTCAGAAAGAAAAACACCAATACAGTATATTAATGCATATATATGGAATTTAGAAAGATGGTAATGATGACCCTATATGTGAGACAGCAACAGAGACACAGATGTAAAGAACAGACTTTTGGACTCTGTGGGAGAAGGCAAGGGTGGGATGATTTGAGAGAACAGCACTGAAACATGTATATTATCATATGTGAAACAGATCACCAGTCCAGGTTGGATGCATGAGACAGGGTGCTCAGGGCTGGTGCACTGGGACGACCGCGAGGGGTGGGATGGGGAGGGAGGGGGGTGGGAGGTTCAGGATGGGGAACACATGTACACCCACGGCTGATTCATGTCAGCGTATGGCAAAAGCACTACAACATTATAAGGTAATTAGCCTCCAATTAAAATTTTACAAAATTACAAGGATGAATAAAATCATTGTATTAACATAAAATCTTTTACTCTATTCATCATATGGTAGAATATAGAAAAGCTATTAAAAAATAAAGTAGAAAAATCTATGTAATCTCAGTGACTGTAGGATTTGATGATTTTGTACTTTTATTTTTGTTGAAGCCACACAATGAAGATACAATTGAATAAAATATGATATGTTTTTATTATATCAATAACTGCAAAACAGGGAGTAGCGAAACACATTCACATAGGAGATGCTTAATAAATATTTGCTAAATGAGTGACATATCCTCCCAATATATAAATGCAGTGAGTCATCAGTATACTAAGTAGTATACCAGTACGTGAATAAATAAAAATATGTTTACCAGAGTGATTGTAATCATTTTTCCTCTCGGTCATATCAAATGTACAGTTTAAAATAAAATGTTGGCACAGTACCTTGAGCTTCATCATCGAGTCTTGGCATAACTTGTCTCCCCGAGCTGCGGAAACCTCATCAATTCCAATCAGTTTGGCCTTGTACCGGACCCCTTCACCTTTAAACCTCTTTATCAAAGTGGCTTCACTGCGATCCTGACCTAAAAAGAAAGAAAAGCAGGATTCGGATATGTAGGTATTCAGGGGCCACTGACTTTAAATATCCACAGTTCCAAGACTGGTTTTCTGGTTTACCTAAATTCAAGGAAAGTCAAATCACTGGATCACGTACAAAAGAATGATGACACTCCCGGATGCAAATTCTGGCTCTATCCTTCCAAATCCTCAGGCAGATTACATAATTTTCTCTAAAATTGTATTTTCTCAGGCAGAAACAAAGAAAACTATTAAAAGTAACCAACCACAAAGTGTCATTAAGATTAAAAAAGCCAGATAACACATGTAAAATACCCAATATGGAGTCTGATGCACACTAGATTGTCAACAAATGATCATTACGCACTACAAGTTTACGTCTGACACTCTTGTTAGAATAATATATTAGCCCTGAGTCTCTCTGGTATTTCCAGCATTTAAAATGACTTTGGCCGGGGTCCAAGACCCTCCTTACACCCAATTCTATGGGCCATTTTATAACGAGGCTCCAGAGTAATTGTTTTGTATCAAGTAATGACCCAGGGTCAATTATCAGAGAATGGTTTTACAATATCTCCTCTGCTAACTCGTGTGTATAGAAATAAGCTTCCACACTCCTTGGTATGGTGCCCTCATACCTTGCAGTGGGATTTCCCAGTAATTATTAGCATAATATTTTGCTAAGACACATCAACCAGAAGTTCAAACACATCCACATAAAATAAAGACAGTAAAGTTACTGTGAACAGAGGATGTGTTTCTTGTGAGATGTTTTATAAACTTTATTCCCACTCTTCACAACTCAACCATATCCAGCTCCCAGATGAAGGTCACAGAATTCAAATAGCTTGTCCATATTCACACAGTCAGAAGAAACAGAATATATAGGAATTCAAATCTCTAACTTCATCAAATGTCCATCAGAGGAGTCATAGGTTGGGGCATTGCTCATGTGGTTCTTTTTTCTTTTTTTTTTTTGGGGGGGGTGGTCACATATGGGATCTTAGTTCCCTGATCAGGGATCAAACCTGTGCCCCCTCACAGAGTCTCAACCGCTGGACCACTAGGGAAGTCCCAATCATGCAGTCCTTAAGCCTGGAATGCTGTAGACTTCTGATACTCATCTCCTGGAACATCAAGAACTTCAGCTTCTGGTACCTCCTCCATCATGCCTTCTTTTATCAGCTGAAAATTTAGAGCTGAGGATATCAGAGATAATTCAGCCGATTTCTCTCTACCTACATGATGCACATATTGAGGCCCTTCCATTAAGTGGAGCTGAGAATTATTTGAGGACATACTTAAAACAGAAAAAAACAAAAAAACAGTAATAGCTAACCACTGTGTGATGCTTTTCTATTGACAGAACATGGCATGCATTTCATTCATTTATTCATTCATCCCTTACTGAGCATCATCTCTGTGACAGATGCTATTACTCACTGGCAATAGATGAATGAGACAGTCTATGCCCCTAGAGGCTCAAGTTTTTGATGACTGCAAACAAAAATGTGTAGTGTGTTATGCTAGGTATATAAGAAGGCAGAAGCTTTACAGCCAGACATCCTCATGTCAAATCATGGCTCTCACTTATAAGTCAACTAAACTGTCTGCTGAGCCTCCATCTCCTAACTATTGAATGAAGATTAAATATTCTCTTTCAGAGTTATTATGAACAGTAACTTACATGAGATAGCACGTGAAAAGCATGGATTCATATGGTAAGTTCTCTATACACGGTAGCTGCCACCCCTGTTATCAGCTCAGTAAAAGAAGCACCTAGAAGATACAATTCTGAGAGCAGGAGAGCACAGAGAAGGGGTGTCTGCAGAGTTAGTCCTGCACCTGTCGTCCACAAATCCCACTTGATATTTTTTCCACCACACTCTTGCTGACTCCTGGTATATTGACGTCTCTGAATTAATTCCATTAAGCAAATATAACACATAGATGATTTGTCTGAATGTGTAATCAATGTAAAAATTAAGCCTCTGGGATCAGTAAGGGCAGATGTCAGAGACTAAAGCTAAGAACAAAAAGAATAACATTTGCCATGATACACCCTTTACTGACATCTAGCTGTGGGCACTGCAGGTTACCTTTCCCCGAATTGTTAAACAATATTCAGTAGGTGTGGCCTATACTTTGATCTATTTCTTGGGAAGTTTATCTTACTCTTTCTTCAATTCCTGACACTATTTCAATCACTAATGACATTTCTTTGACTATCTGGAACTTCCTCTAATGTTTAACTATAATGACAATACCAGGGAGTATTTATCATGTTAAGTACAGCACATTATATGCATCAATTTGTTTAGTCCTTAAAATAATCCTAGAATAGGTACTGTTACTCAGATCTTATAGATGAGGATCTAAATTGAAGGTCTGAGAGGCCAAGTAACTTGTACAAACTCACTGAGTGGGACCTGCACCCAGATCTGTCTGATGCCAGAGCCCGTGCCTGTGGTTTGCTTATGTTCTGCGTCTTCAAGCTTGTCCCCTTAATTATAATGGTTAATTGTTTCTCATCTATCCGACTTCCCTATAAAAGTGTCAGTCACTCAGTCATGTCCAACTCTTTGTGACCCTATGGACTGTAGCCTGCCAGGCTCCTCTGTCCATGGAATTCTCCAAGCAAGAATACTGCAGTGCGTAGCCATTCCCTTCTCCAGGGGATCTTCCCAAACCAGGGATCAAATCTGGGTCTCCCACACTGCAGGCAGATTCTTTACCATCTGAGTCACCATGGGAAGCCCTTGAGATGATACTTATACAAAAACTCACCTCGCCCAAATCTGTTGATCTTTAATATACTGGCAGCATTAAAATGCCACTGGGAAGATGGCTTGAAAATGGAACATACACATTCCAGACTCCAGGTCATTTCCCAAAAATGTCCATAAGTCAGATACAAAGACAGCCTTAAGAAATATTTGTCAGGGCACAGAGCTCTGCTGAGGAGCACACTTTGTAAAAGGAGGCAGAGCGAGATCAGGTGAATGAGGGCAGAGATTAATAAGAAAATATTAGGCCATTTAGAGGAAAGTAGAGAGTCCAATTTAGATTAGGACCCAGGGCCAAGCTAATTTGTATGAAGGGCACTTATGCAGTAGATAATCCAGTTTCTCATTAAATGTTCCACCATTAAAAGGGTAATTTTTCATGAGCACATCTTGAGCGAGGTCTCAGATATATAAGTTAAGAAATAAATAACAGATATCAGAGCCATAAGGCTATTCCTTCAGAGGCACATATGACTTGAAGGTGTTGAAGGGAGGGTCAGTCTTTACTCATTCGAAGTCATCGTGAATCCCCAGCCTAGTCTGCTGAAAGTACCACTGACCCTCTGTTTTAGGATGGACAAGAGAAAGCTCATGTGTTTAATGAAAATCATCTATTATCAAGCATTTATGATATCAGTCACTGTGCCAGAAGTTTTACATGCAATCTTTTATTTAATCTTCACATCTGCTCTTTGAATTTGTCTCTATCATGAGCCCTATTTTATAGAAGATGACACCAATGCCCAAAGCCAAGGGCATTGCCAGAATTTTTTTGGGTTAACAGCTTTGTTGGGATTTAATTCCTATAGCATTCAATTCACCATTTTAAAGTATACAGTTCAGTGGTTTTAGTACATTCATAGTTAGACAACCATCACTGGTAGCTAATTTCATAACATTTTCATCAACCCAGAAGGAAACCTTGTGCTTGTTAGCAGTAATTCCCTATCTTCCCCAAACCCATAAGCCCTAGGAAATCACTAATCTACTTTCTGTCTCTATGGACTTGCCTGTTCTGGAGGCAATTATATTTCACACAAACAGGATCATATAATATGTGGTCTTTTGTGACTGGCTTCCTTCACTTAGCATCACATTTTCAAGATCATTCCACCTAATAGTATGTATCATTATTTCGTCTTTTTCTTTCTGAATAATATTCCATTGTAAGGATATACCACAACAGTTGGTGGACATTTGGCTTCTATTTCTTTGGTATTATGAATAACATGAAAATGAACTATTTTTGTACCAGTTTTTATATAGTCATATTTTTCACTTCTCTTAGGATTACACCTAGGAGGGAAACTGCTGGGTCATACAGTAACTCTGTTAAACTTTTTGAAGAACTATCAAACTGTTTTTCCAAAGTGGTTCTACCAGTTAAAAATCTCACAAAGTATGAGGGTTCCAATTTCTCCACCAGCTCTTCTTGCCAACATCTCTTATTGTCACTGCTTTTTAGTCATCCCAGTAGGGGTTTAATGATATCTCACCTTGGTTGTGTTTTGCACTGTCTGCAGGACTAGTGATGTTGAGCATCTTTTCATGTGTTCATTGCCCATTTGCCTATCCACTTTGGTGAAATGCCTATTCAAACATGATAGGCTGAATTTGATCCCATGTCTTATGCAAAATGTCATGCTTTTAACCATTAGGCTATGGGGCCTCCTGTGACCTGTCACAGCACTAACTACTTCTCACTCTGTGCCACAGTTACTTGAGTAGATGCCATATGGAACCTGTTGTAAATTGCAAGACAGCTTACCACTAAGACAAGCACAAGTACATACACCTGGCCCGATATTCTCGTATCTTGTCCTATTTAATCTTCTAAGGTTACTGGAAGGAGGTGCCATCATCATTCAAGAGGAAGAAACCAAATCCAGAAAGGTAACTAAAGTTATTTCAGTTAGGGCTCAGATCCTCATCCTGTTGTACTCTGAGGCCTGAGCTCCTCCATGGGGAGCCCGAGCTCTGGATTCAGATAACCTGAGTTCAAGTCCCAGCTCTTCCACCCCTGCCATAATTGCGTTACCTTAGGTAAGCACCTTCGCATGACTTCCATGGCATCTTTCTCTGTTCAGTGGAGAAAAGAACAGTTGCTCCCATAGAGGGTCACTGTGTAGGTCAACGAAACGCCACACAGACAGTATGCAGGAGAGTGAGGGGCAAACACTAAGAGCTAATCAATGTTGGCTGCTGCTCTCGAGGTGCCC